TTTTTTTTTTTACCTGTTTTTTAAAGGCTGCTGCTGTTTTCTTGAGCTCCATGTTGAACTCATTCCAATTTTCCTTTCAGTCTCTCTGGCTCAAATGTCCCAAAAGTCACACTTGTCCCTCTTACCTAACAATTGGAATTTATATCAAGGCTAGAGCCCAACTCAATGGAACTCCAGTGAGCTGTGTTCTTTTACTTACAGGTAGAAGGGAAGAGGCTGGAGGATCCATTGGTTTTCATGTCTTATTAGCAATCTGCTAAGTATTTTGCTGTGTAGCAGGATGCCCTACTTGAGATTAAACCTGAGTTTCATTCTTGCTGTCTATAGGTTTGCTGTTTTGCCCTAGCATGGGTAGTTCCAGAGAGTCCCCCTGGGGCCTCAAGGAGAGTAAACCACCATCAAGGCACTAAAGGTGGGTGCCCTCCCATCGCATCCTAAGGGAAGGTGGAGGGACTGGAGATAATACCCTCAGAAAGATGGGCTGGGGACTCATCTGTCTAGGTAGGGATTGACTCAGACATTTTTGTTTGTTTGCTTGAAAGTCGACAAAAAGAAGAAGGAGCAGAGGAAACAGAAGGAGGTAGGAGTCCTGGATTAGACAGTAGACATGCACAAGCCCTAGCTTTGTGATACGATCCATCCCTGCCAGCTGACGGTGCTCTATGATGATTCTCCACTGTGGTCACAATGGGAGATGCCCAGGCAGGAGGCTGGGCTCCCATGCTCAGAGGGCCGGGCTGTGAGCATGTATGAACACTCAAGCTGGGACCCCTCAGTCACTCACACAGTATTCCATTTAACCTTCACTTGCAGGTGTAGGAATAATTCTTTTAGTACTATGCTGCAGGAGGCTGGGCTCCCATGCTCAGAGGGCCGGGCTGTGAGCATGTATGAACACTCAAGCTGGGAGCCCTCAGTCACTCACACAGTATTCCATTTAACCCTCACTTGCAGGTGTAGGAATAATTCTTTTAGTACTATGCTGCAGAGAAGATCAGGCAGCTCCTAAGTGGGCAGCAGCTGGACTGGTACTCAGATGCTTTTAACCCAGTATTTCTTGACTCTGGCTGCACAGGAAAATCACATGGAAGCTATAGAGAGCACCAATGCTGGGGGTCCATCCCCAGACCAATTTAATACGATCTCCTGGTGTACAGGCTGAGCCTAGGTGTGCTTTGAAAGGTCCCTGCGGATGCTAGTGCACGGTAAAGTGCAGGCCCACGGTCCACCCTAGTGCTGTGCTGTGGGGCAGAGGGAGAGAGACTGGTGATAAAACACAAACAAAACAAAATAACAAAATTGAAAGAAAAAAAATCTCAGATACTGGGAACTCTTACTCAAGGGCTAATCTTACCTCCTGTTTGCTGTGGCTTTGATTTTTGAAAAGTATTTTCACATATTGTATTTTAGTTAATTCTCAGAAAATCCACCAAGATCCTTATTTTTGGTGATGAGATGGAGTCCCAGAGGGGCTGAAGAAAAGTCTCCGGATTTCAAGTCCAGAATGCCACAGAGGCCCTGTAAGGAACTCTGAACACACTCCTGTGACTGGCTGTACTTTTCCCCCCTTTTCCCTGGATATTTGGCAATACTGTATTTGCATCACTCAGGGTGAGAGGGTAATAAATTAATTCTAATAAAAGGATTTTAAAACTAGATTTTCTCTTAGTTGTTTCAAGAGGGACAGGGACAGCAAAGAAAACCATAGAATGTGGATTCTGAGAAATGTGAAGGCAAGGCCTTTACTAGACAGGAACATGAGTGAAAGAGGAAAACAGCTAACGTGAAAAGCCCTAAGGGTCACTCCTCAGGGAGTTCACTACTTTCAGTGATAAGAATGAAGAAGTGTTTGAAGCTCTCTGAAACGAAAAAGCTGACCAGGGATGTGATACCTTATGAGAAAACAAGTGAAGCCTGGAACATTGCTTGGTCTAACAATTTACCAACTGCTGCTAAAAGAAATCTGGGTGGCCTTATCACTCAGCTGGCCTCCCATCCTGAAAGCTCCGTTTGCCCAGATAAGACACTGCTGAGCCTACACTTCCTTGGCTGTCCCACAGCTCTCAAATATGACTGTTTTGCACGCTGCTGTGGGACTTCCTCAAACTCTCTCAAGTTGCTAATTTGTTCATGCACCAGTGGTTCTTCCACATGGCAATGCAGACCCAGAAGTAAATGTTCCCTCCCTCTGATGGCACTGCCACATAGGACAGCCATCAGGTCACCAGGCAAGTGGCCAGACAATCAGGGAAAAGTCAACTGTCACACGGGCAAGCATTGCCTAACGTCCCTAGAGAGTGGCACCAAAGGTGGACCGGGGAAGAGAGACAAATGGGAGGCTGATGAAGGGAGATGGTGTTCTCTTTGAGCTCTGTCTTTCTGAAGGAGATGGTTTTGGGGCTCTTGTGCATAAAACTCATTTCTTGAGGACTGGGTATACAGCCCATCACAATGAAGGACTTTGTACCAGCCTGGCACTGTCTAAGCTGCTGAGATGAGAGGTCAGCTCAGCAAACTGGGCCTGAGCTTCACCTGGGCTGGCCACATTGGCAAAGCAACTCAGCCTCCCTGGACCCTTTGTTTGGGGGTGTATGACTTCCCCCCCCCCAGAGTGCTGTCAGTTATTCCAGCTACATCCTTTCAGTGTTTCTGAAACACAGGTCTTCTCTGAATCAAAGGACTGTCAACTTTATGCTCTGAGCAAGCACTGCATGCAGGAAAGGATGAGGATGCTAATGTCTGATTTCAAGCACTCGGTACTCCAATACTAGAGACTCCATCAGCAGGTGTCATGGATGTGTGAGTATAGAAGAAGCTTACCTAGTGCCAAGCAGAAAGCAAAGCCAAGACTGAGCAAAGATCCACAACAACAAAAATCACAGCAGCAGCTAGCAATTATTGAGCCCTTAATAGATGCCAGGCACTGTGCTAAGAACATTATGCTTATTATTATCTCATTATCTCTGACAGCAATCCTGGGAAGTAATTATTATTGTTATCTTCATTTTCCATGTAAGGAAACCAAAGCTGGGAGAGGTAACTTGACTTATTCTAAGTCACGCAGCTAGTAAATGTCAGCGCCTGGACTTGACCCTGCTCTGTTTGACTCCCAAACTCAAGCTCTCACTGCTTTACTGACCCCAGCGAGGGGGCCCTTCAAAGAGGCCCAGGACGTATGTTAGCCAGCTCCTGGATGATAGCAGTTGCTGTAATGATTGAGTAAAATCCTCATCCCTTCCTTTTTCTCAAATATGTTGACTGCCCTTGTAGGAAAAGAAAGTTCTAGATTCATGCCAGCCATACTTCACCTACACTAAGGAGAATAGAAGTTTAAAATTCCATGATAATCTTTCTTTCTCTCCCAACAAACAGTTTGAAAGGAATGTCCAAGAAGGAAAAGGAGAAAAAAAATGGGTTTGTTAAAGAAGTTGAAAAATATGCTTTCAAATGAGAAACATGTGTGTTGTGTGTGGTTACTCTTTATTGTCTCCTCCCCACACCAAGTTGAAAACAAGTGAACATGATACAAATGGACACATCCATATAAAGACAGGAAAGTCGGTGGTGCCTGAGGTGGCAGACAATCTAGGAGATGCTGTGGGAAGCTCCAAGAAGTCATGGAAAACTCTGCAGCAACCCAAGTCCAGCTCCGAGCAGCGTTCTCAAGCATGCATACAAGGACTCAAGGCGAGGATGAAAACTGTACTTGAATTTGTAAAAGGGGATTGAGCAGGAGTGAACAATCTGCCATGGACAGGCCTGAGAGCAAACAAGTACATCAGAGATTGTAGACAAGCTGGGGCCATGCCAGCTTTTTTATATGATTTCTTTTTTTCCTCCCCTCTGGCACAAACAAGCTCTGGGATTTCAAAAACTGGGTCATCATTTTTGAATTCCCTGCTTTCAGCACAGCGCTCAGTTGGTCTGGCTGATTGGCTTACAAGCCTGATTTCCTGAGCTAACACTTCCTAGCCATTCAGCTGTGGGGGAGTAATAAACTGGGGCCTGCCTTTCCCACTGGCAGCAGACTAGCAGTGCATCTCGCAGGACAGCTGGAGGTCCATCCTTGTATTTCCTGCTATTATATGTTTAACTGCATCAAATACGCCCATTAAAGCACCACTTCAAAGACCGCCATTCTTCCTTGGAGGCCAAGAGAAGGGAGATAGCACTGACCGCCCCCACACCTGGGGAAATATTCTGACATCCTGATCTCACAGGGTGATGGCTCTTCCCATAGGCTTTGGTGATCCCAAGAGCATGGCTGGCCTGCCCATGAGGGACATGGTGCCATGAAGAAGACGTCCTATGTAAGCTTCACTTAGGTAGGGTCTAGAGTGTTCACAACCCACTTGAGTAGTACCTGTCACCTACGGAGTTTGGCACCATCTGGGTTTTCTTCCAGCAGCGGACTTAAACTTACCTCCATCAGGCACAGGTTTTGAGAACTTTCACTTGATTTTCTAAAATTATATCAATAAGTCTTTAAATATCACCTTCCATCCCTGAGTTCCAGATTCTTAGGAAGCTTCCCTGGTTTGTCAACATGAGGTAAAATATACTCCTCCTTTCTGACCAGGTAAAACATTTCCTACTTCTTCACGGTGACTTGCTTAATACTGATATAATTATGTCACAGTACAGACTCCTACTTCAATGTTAGCCTCCAATAAACTCTATGCTGGGTGAACAGCAAACTCATTGTGAGCTTAGTTTCTAAGACTCTCAACACGCTTGCAAGAGGCATCGAATTTCAGTGAGATCTTCTGGAACATGAATACAAGTAAAAACTAGCTATGGGGTCAAGTCTGGGCTTTCTTTTTTTGACCTTGGTTTGTTTTATTTTATTTAGGCAAACTTTTTGGGGGGACACAGGGGACCATAAAATCCTTACCTTTTAAATGAACCCATTGTTAACAATTTGTTCATCACAGCTCCCTCGACCTCACCAAAAAAGTCTCCAGTCTGTGGGGAAGAAAAGAAGACACATGAGGCAGTGTAGATGAATAACGTGCCCAAACAGCAGAGAAGAGATGAAGATGGACACAGTCTGTGTCCTGGAAGTGACAGGAGCAGAAGTCAGGTTTTCAGGACTACTGTTACATAAAAGTGGAAAAGGTTTTAACAGTCATGTGAAACTATGGGATTACAGAACAAACCAGTGAGCAGATGTGAGTGCTTCCACCATATATGGGAGGGGGGTTGCATAAAACGTGCTGATTGCTGAAATTAACACACACATGCGTGTACACGCACACATCCCCCCTCATTAGCCTTGGATGGAGTAGGCATTAATCTGCATATAATCCCTTGTGATTAAAACGCTACTTCATGCAGACAGAAACAGGCTGTGAAAAGGGCTTCCTAAGCACTAATAAAAAGAATTGTTTATAATTCCTAGATGACCTGTTTAGGGAAATATAGCAGTCCTCTTCATTGGCCCTATAAATTTCCTGCAGTGGAGAATCCATCCTTTCTCCAAATCACTTTCTGAGGAATACTCTCATTTTGTCCATAGGCAGTTAATATTGACCAAGAATAAGACTGTCCAGGCCCTTGAGGAGACAGCATGGCCAATCACACTTCTAATGGCCTGCCTCTACCTCAGGGACTGTCTTCAGGTCATTTGTGGCCTTGCAGCCTTTCCCCGCTACCCTGCTGATGCTTGTGCAACTCTATTTCTTGGTTCCGGCCAAGATTTGCAAACTTTGAATAGTGGAATGAAGGATTAACATCCTCATGCATGCCCTGTAGACATCTAAAACCACTATCTTCCAAGTTGTCCTATGGGTGGGCAGTGTATGCAGTGCTGTGGAATAGAGCTTGTGACAACAGCCTTCTTCTGCCAACACCTGGAGTGAGCCAGTATAGATCAGTAGAGTCCTCTGGGTGCTCTGAAGATTTATAGCTTATGTGTGGGTGTGGGGAGGGCATTACAATAAGAGTCCAAATTACATAAATTCCTTAGGCTTTATATTAACTAAACCCTAATTCCACTGCGACTAACTGAGTGACCTTATCTATGCTCTTGGGAGTTTTCAGGCAACAAAGCATATATAGAGAGAGAGACTTTGACAAGAAGTCAAGAAAGAGAGGAGGAAGAAGGAAACACATTTCTCTGAATATCAAGCACTTCCTTTCTCTATGGGAAACTTGGAAACTCCTGCAAATTCTGTGGGCGTGTGCTGCTGCTAGGAGCAAGAAGGACATTTGTATTTTTTTGTGTGTAAATATGCCAGCGTCAATGGAACTGGTTGTTAGATGAAGAAGAATCATCCTAATGGGGTGCAGGAAGCCAGACAACATCAAACAAGCCCAGACTCAGCAGGCTGGCAGACTCGCTGGGTACTGTTGCAGGCCTTATTCCACAGAGATGCAAAGCAGAGCATCTGTAGCAGCCAATGGCTTTGCCAGAGACACTATTTTAATAGTATGCTGACCAGTCCAGGACTCACCACTGGAAGACATCCACTCCATCCCTCCTGTGTCCTAGGATCAGGTTCCTATCTCAGCCCTACAGGATTATGACAGAAGGACAGAGCTCCTCCTTCCAGGTGATTAGTTTGGATTCTTGCTCCATAGGTTCCTAAATGTCTATGTTCCTTTTCCCAGCCAAATGGGCATGTTACCATAGGCCAATAGACTTTCCTTCTGCCTCAGAGACTGGCTTTGTTTCACGTCCTTCCAGGTGATTAGTTTGGATTCTTGCTCCATAGGTTCCTAAATGTCTATGTTCCTTTTTCCAGCCAAATGGGCATGTTACCATAGGCCAATAGACTTTCCTTCTGCCTCAGAGACTGGCTTTGTTTCACGGGCTCATTCATCCTATCTATTGTCCATCCACTGTCCAATGTTCAGTGATGTTCAGCGTTAGAGAAGACTGTGTAGGCATTCTGAGTCTCAATAGTGTAATCAGCCATGAAAGGTGCATTTAAAACCCTACAACATTCTATTCTCATGGATAGGAGGGGAATTGGAAGGATAATCCTCAAGTTTCCTGGAGCCACAGTTTAGAAATGAACCATTGATCTCAGACCTTAAGGAGCCACACTGAAGGACAATTAACTAATTTATCAAGCATTAATGGACCTATAGTACTGTTGACTACTAAATAATTTTAAATGATTTAAAAGTAACTTCATTATAAAATATTAGTACTCTCAAATATTAGAATTAGAAGAAACCATATATAGTTAACCATCATTTTACAGAGCCTATCCAGAGGCCTAGCTGGGTTAAAAAATGTGCCAATGATCCCAAACTAGTTAAGGAAGAGAACTAGCACCAAAACCATCTGCCTCCCCTGCTAATATTACTTTATTATACCACACTGCACAGCTAAACTTGTATGCATTTTCCCTTCTTTAAAAATTCTATTTTAATTCTAATAGCAGGAAAAGTTTTCATGCAGAAAGTTTGAATGGAAAAACTTCTGTTTCTCTATTACAATGCTGTTGACCTTAATTCTCATTTTTATTTCTAAATAGAGTGGAGATTTCTGCACTGAGCCCCATCTCTTGATTTCTTTCCATCTCTGTCCCTCCCACCTCCACACTGCACACAGTTCATTCAAATGGAGCATATTCCTCTCCTATCTCTGGACCCCAACCCTGTCCCTCAGTGCTGAGAGCCCAAGCTAATCCTTGAACTTAGATAACTGATTTTTAAAAAGCAAAAACCAGAAAGAAAGCCATAAACAATAATTATCTAGAAATGTGTGTGTGTGTGTGTGCGCACGCACACGTGTGAAGGTAAAATATCAGAAGGAGAAAAGCTCCTTCAAGTAGCCCTGTGTGTGTGTGTGTGCGCGTGCACGTGTGAAGGTAAAATATCAGAAGGAGAAAAGCTCCTTCAAGTAGCCCAAACTCTCTATGCGCACGCACACGTGTGAAGGTAAAATATCAGAAGGAGAAAAGCTCCTTCAAGTAGCCCAAACTCTCTATGGCACCTCCATCCTTGAGGCAAAAATTCTTTCTGTGGCACAGACAACTCTGAGGCAAAGAGTTCTATAAATTGAACATTTTATGAGTGAGAGAACAGGCCTGGGCTCTGCCACCCCCTGACCACCCCCCACTGGCAGGTAAAAACTCTTTGGGGCCTGCTGAGAAGTAAGCTGTGACATTCTTAAAGGGATGGAAATAAGGTTTTATAATCTCCTGCTATTACCTCTTATGTAGAGATCATTGTCTCAAGGTTTTAACACCCTAATTTGTTCCCCCTGACCCAAGCATATTCTGAGCTCCTTACTTGGAGGTGGTAGAAATTTTTTACTTACCTGTGTGTAGTCTTCAGACACTAGAATAAATCCATTATTGTCTATGAGGTAACAGTTCACAGTCTACAAAATTAAAAAAAAAAACATTTTCAGCTTTGGGTCTTCGGACTGCTTTTACACGGAATGACATACTACCAACCCAAAGAAACCTATTTTTTTGGAGGGAAGTTGTTTTCAGGAACTTGGAAAAGCTGCTGATAATGCCATGGTTAAGCTAACTCCAGTGTTTACTTTGCAAAACTAACAAACAAAAATAAAACACTAAACAAGCCTTGAATGACCCAGATTGGAATAAAAAGAATATGCATTAAAACAATTTACAATTTGTCTTCCCTTTTTTTTTATATATGACCTGAATAATATTTCTAAGGAACAAAGTATTCAGGGGCCTCCTAGGCTGTATTCTCGGTGGTTGAAGTGCAGGCTGTTCTGAAAGCAAAACGCCAGCACAATGTCATTACTCTAATGATGTATTAATGAAAACACCGTGTCAGCTCAGAGGACCATCAGGGGACCAGGTAATATTTTTTAATTTGTTCATAGACTGAGGCAGGGGGGAAGGGGCAGACTTCTGTTAAAGGAGCCCCTCAGGCCTCCTAAAGATTTTCAAACTGTGTTTTTAATTGGGAGCTGGATTTGGGGGCAGGGCTGTTAGCTTTTGGTAGCTCAGACTTATAAATTGTAGAAAGCAAGGTAAACCCAAACCTCTGCTTCCCCCACACTGCTTTAATCTAAAGTGAATGATTTGCTACAGGCTAAGTTTTAATTACAGTGCTGTGGAGTTTAACTTAAGGTTTAATTCCGTCCTTGATGTAACTCAGTTTCTATTTATTGCAGCTTTACATACCGACTGCAACATTTAATTTGTAACATATCTTTACCCTGAGCTAAATTCCACCTAGCTCCAGGCCACCACAGGGCTGGTGTTTTCTGGGACATTTGCCTATCCACAGGGTTGGTTTCAGTTAGGCACAAAAGGACAGCAGTGGGTTGGTGAGAAAGGTCCACGCTTTATTACTAGACAGTGACTGTGCAGAATGAACAGAAGACTAGAAGCCCTGCTAACACCTTTTACAAAAAAAGTTGGCTGCTTGGGTGAATAATAGAGCTTCTCTCGGTTATTCAAAGGGGTCAGATGAATGACTTGGGTACCTGATCACACTCTTACTATTATTAGCTCTTGGCTTTGGTCCTGGTAGTAGTCTTGATAAACTTTCTCCATCCTCAGGAGACAGCATGGAAGCAATCCACAGAGCTATGCCTCCAATATGGTAACCACTAGTTTTACGTAGATTTAAATTCAGTTTTAACTTAATTAAAATGGAATACAACTAAAAATTTGGTTCCTCAGTCACACAAGCTATATTTCAAGTGTTTCACAGCTACCTGTGACTAGTGGCTACACTTTTGGAAATTTCCATCATTGCAGAAAGTTCTTTTGGACAGCCATGTCTTAGATTACACTAGTACTCCAATGAGTCTTAACTCAGTCTACACTGTGTCATATCCTTCCTGATTTGAATGTCATGATGTTCATTTTGCAGGTACAGACACTGAAGCAAAGAGAGGTTAATCTCTATGCAATCAATGAAAACATGCTGAGTACAGGAGCGGCCTCCATGTTCAGATATTGACTATCCATATCCCCACAGTTGTACAGGGAGTCAAAAATCATCATCAGCCCTCCATTCCCGACTGTAAAATTACTTCCTACTCAAACATCCCTAAACAATTAGTACTCTTGCTATTAGACCTGTGCCTTTGGTCAATACCTGTTTGTCTATATCCCCACAGTTGTACAGGGAGTCAAAAATCATCATCAGCCCTCCATCCCCGACTGTAAAATTACTTCCTACTCAAACGTCCCTAAACAATTAGTACTCTTGCTATTAGACCTGTGCCTTTGGTCAATACCTGTTTGTCTAATGTTGTAAATATTGGGTAATACAATACAGATACAAGGCACACAGAGTATAAAGTCAATCTAAAATCTTCAGAAAGAGGCAAAATTTCATGAAGCCCATGAAAGTGATGCTGGAGAATAGCTCTAATCCAAGGGAAGCCACTGGCACATCAGGATCTGTCAGAGGTAGACACGCAAAGAAGGAAAAAATCACCACAGATAAGACCTGAGAGGTGTATCCAAAGAGGATGACTTCAAAAGCCAGGAGCTAAGGGAAGTCTCTGGGAAAACTGATCAAAACTCTTTATTGTATTTTGATCCTTTTGGTGAACATTCTGAGAAAATCAAATATAAAGGATTTTATATTGTGCTATTTTATAATTTTATCAGAAACATTAAACTCTCAGCCCCCAAACCTCACTAAATTTACTTTTCTGTTTGGAGAATTAGAGTACAGTTGCAATTACAACCTAAAGTCATTATATAAAATAAATATATTTTCACAATTTCCACTTTATCTAGAGACAAATTTTCAGTGAAACTTTTCATTATTTACTATAAACATGTGGTCCCTTTCCTGACTTCACTTGGAAATGAGGACCTCTGTGCTCTTTCTAATGGCCCCACTGGATGGAGCAGAGGTAGGACTGGCCAGGAGGAGACTCACTTTGCAGGTGCCTGCCCTGCTCCTTCTCATTTCTGGTGTGGAAGGAACAGGGGTGATAATTCTAGAGGGGGTGCCAAGCCTATTTCAACTCAGAACTTGGAAAATCAAGCTGTAAAAAGAGAGGCGTGCAAGCTTGAGAGAATACCAGATGAAAATTATCACACATTGAAGCTTGCCCAGAAGAAGAATCACAGCTATAGGAAGACACTGACTCATGAAAACCTTACTTTTCACACTGTCAAGTAGGAGATTATTCTCTCGGACAGAGGAGAAAACTGAGGCCCAGAGATGCTGCCTTCCCCAGGGTCACACACTAAGCAAGTGGGACTTGAATCCTGTTTGATCTGACTCCTCCTACTGTCCAACCCGCTCTACCTTTCAAGAGACAACAGGACACAAAGACTTTCCTTTTTTGAAAGAAGCAATCTCTTAACATACATATAGCTAAGGATAGATCTTGTCTGTCACACGTCACCAAACAAAACCACAACAAATGGCAGAAAAATCAGCCAGACCAGTGACTGCCTCTAAGTGCCTGGGGTGTTATTATTATGGCTGAAAACAAACAAAACAACAGAATGACTGTTGTTTGGGGTCGGTTTGGTCAAGTGGTATCGACCCCAATTATAGGTTCCTGGACTCTCTGTGCACAGTAATTCTTAAGCTGATATCTGAAACCAAGAGATTTAGTCAGTCACAGCTTAAGGGGATTTTCTGTATGTCCCCACCACTTACTAAGGAACAATCTATAGACAAAAAAAAAAAAAGCCCATCATAGGCTAGAGTCTAAAAATTCACTTGATGATCCACTCACTGTGGTCAGATTTGTCTACATCCTACCAGATAGTGATGGGAAGAGGAAAAACAGGAGGTCTGGCCAAGGGTCCTCCTGGCAGACGATGTGCCTAAGCTGTCCTTTCCTGCAAAGGTACCTCATGTTTTTCCACAGCACAGTGGGCATGTTCTTCTTGGCATGCCATGGGCTGGGGAACAGTACTTGTTTCTTCTATGCTGAGTACCAATTGGCATTTATTTCTTGGACTATGCTTCTCTTTAAAACTTTAAAAATTCACTTTTTCTCCCTTACATTAGGATTCCAGGACAGAAACTTGGCAGCAGAGAAGATGCCTTACTGTACTTGTTTATGGCTAAGTTTGAATTTCACGCTTACGCTGGGTATTAAAAGATTTGGTCACCCTATTAAGCAAGGAACAAGCACAGCCAACATTGGGACTTACAAATTGCTGAGAAAATCATAGGTCAAAGTCAGGGTGCTATGTCGCTGATGCGGACCTGGGTCACTGAATCTGAAAGGCGTCACCAAGTTTTCATCACAGGCAATACTGTTATGTTGTCTATCCGTAAACACTAAAAAGCAAATTTATGACTAGATGACTTCTTAAACAGACCTCCCTGTCAGCGGCCACTGGGATTAAATTATTCTGAAGAAGTGCAGGGGAGTGAAGTAAGCCCCCTTGACTTAGGGGAGCAGAGTGCTGGCTTTACAGATCAGTCAGGACAGAATTAACCAGGATCCAACCTGATCAATTGTCTTTTCTATGTCACTTTATAATAAATAATATTCAATTTCCTTCCCCATCATCCCCCTCCAGTAAAAGGAAATAGAGGAGATATTTTCTCAGCTTTCTTTCATTACGTTACTTTCCCCTCTGATGAAGCCCAACATCTTGGAAGACATCCGCCCATCATCCTGTCCCACGGAAATAGAGGAGATATTTTCTCAGCTTTCTTTCATTACGCTACTTTCCCCTCTGATGAAGCCCAACATCTTGGAAGACATCCGCCCATCATCCTGTCCCACGGGAGCACTGACAGGCTGAGGGGTTGGAGAAATCACGAGCTCTGAGTTCTAGCAGATACTGGAAGCACTTACTCCACAGCCATCTTTGGAAAAACATCTGGGGATAAGGTTGTTCTAAAAGTGCAGGGATAAAGAGAGAAGGGGAGAGGCAGAGAGAATGTGATGTTTAAAAAAATATCTGTGACTATTTGATGACTAAATATTGCTCAGAGAAGTCTCATTCTGGGTCACAAAGGCTGATTCAGGAAATACTTGAAGTCAAAGCACAAAACCAGGCTGTGGGAATCGGGCAGTCACAGATTGGAAGGCTTGTGTTAACGGGAAGGGGCAGTATTAGCCCAGGGGCTGAGATACTAGCTTTAGAATCAGACACTGACATTTGCTGTCATTGTGATCTTTTTTCTTATCTGAAGGATGGAGATAGCCACGGCAACTATTCCATAGAGTTGTCCAGAAGACTCAAAGGGAGGGTACAGGTGAAGGCTGAGCATAGTGCCCCGTGCACAGGGACATGTGCTTCAGCCCTGTTTATTGGTCACCTACTAAGTGCCATTTTTGTAAGTATCCTGATGCTACAGTTTTACCTTTCTCAGGAAGAGACAGCAAGAGATCTCGGAGGCAGGATGGCTGAGCTTTGTGGCTTTTTGTGTTGCCTTTGTTTGTTTTGTTGGGGAAACAACTCACTCAGAAGCCCAGAACTGTGCTGCCCGTTGTCCTCATTTGTGAGGACACACGGACGGACACACACACACACACAATGGGTTTTACATCTGCGGTGGGGCCCGTATCTCTGCATCTCAGGCACACAGAGGGGCCGCTCCTTACTACCTTTCCCTGGGGCTCACAACCTCATCCGTAATATTTACATTGTGCAACAGTCTGACCCTTACTTCACATCACTTGTTCTGTCTTTTCATTATAGGTCAACTGTCTATCAAAATGCTGTCTTTTGAAAGAATTTATTGTGGAGGAGTCACTTTGGGAAGATGTGCTGGGTGGGGGTCACCGTGCTCCTCTCCTGATAGCTATTCAAATGACCCTCAGGGCCACCTGCTGGTTGGGCTTGGCAGTTAGATATGGAGCACCTGGTTGCTTGGATGTAGCCCTTCTCCTTGCCCTCTCATAATCCAAGCAGGTCTTTCAGACACCAGAAGAAATGCGTAAAAGGCCTTAAAAAGTCTTAGAGACGCCACTAAATCCCCAGTGGTTGGCCAGGTACCAGGCACCTAAGAAGGTCTCAAAACACATGTCTTGAAGGAATGAGTGAGTGTATGAACCTCATGAACTCTGAAGTTAACATTTGCCCTGGTCGGCAGAGCTCCTTCAAGGTCTTCGGTCGACCCCGCGGCCAGATCCTTCAAGCCACATGGCTTAGGCTCTGATTGGTCCAACCAAAGATGCATCGGGCCACACTGGCCCCACCCATCAGCCCTCCTGCCAAGGCCCAGGGAGTGCACTGCTGGGTAGACAAGGAGGCTGGAGTGGATCTAAGGCAAAGCATGGATGATAAGCCTGGGGAGTTGGGCCAGGTCTTCAGTGCAGTGGAGAAGCCAGAAGCATGTGAACTTAATGAGCCCCCACAGCTGTTTTTAATGGGGACCTGATCATTTGAGGGCAGCTGGGAAAGAGGAAGGACATGGTCTCACAGGCCTAATTAAAAGTTATGAAAAGAGAATGACACATGGAAAGAGTCTGCTGGAAGAACGGAACGGGGTCTTGGTGGGAAGACAGAGCTGGCTTTTCCATTTAAAACAATGTCAGTCAGTTGCCTGGAGCCAAAATTTAAGTGTTGAAGAAAAAACTGGATGGTAGTTTCAAAGTGCAAACTGAGGACATTTGAACATCTGATCAAGTTCAGAAATCAGGGCAAATTCAAGGCTTAATTTTCAAAGTATGTGAACCTTTAAATGACATTCGAATGGAGGTTTATCTCAATGGCTGCTGGAAAGAGATCATTAGCAGTAAGGAAGGCATTATAACCTGTGCTTACTATGCTCGGGGGAAATTGTCAATTGCCTGAAGTAGATATGCCATTGCTGTCTGAGGTTTTAGATCCAGCTGAACCACCACTCTAAGGCAAGAAACAGTCATTAGACTTTTTTGGTTCATAGCTAACGTTTACTTAGTGCTTACCATTTGCCGGGAGCCATGCCATGCATGGTTTATATTTTATCTCATTCACTTTTCACCATAACTCTGTGAGGTGGTATTTCTAACTCCATTGTATAATTGAGGTAACTGAGGCACAGCGAGGTTCAGAAACTTATCCAAGGCCACATAGCTAGTTACTGTCAGAGTCAATAATTTGAAACTAGTCAGTCTAACTCCATAGCCTGCACCTTTAACCACCATGCTATACCACCTGTGAAATCAGTCATTGGACAAAAAGCATACTGCAGGTTTCCACTCTAAGCGAGGATCCGTTTTCACTTGTTTTTATATGAGGATACGCTGAGGCAGCATGGATTATGGAAAGATAACTGCCTCTAAGTTTATTCATCAAATTGTTAAACCAACTATCCATCTATCTATCTAACCAACCAACCAACCAACCAACCAACCAACCAACCAACCAACCAACTAATGAGCCAAACAACAAATTAATCAACCAAACATCCCAACTATCATCCATCCCACCAGCCAACCATCTAGCCATCTATTCAATGAGTCAACTAACTAACCAACCATCCTCAGTTCTCTTACTGTACTCACTGAGCAAGTAAGGAGCTTAATACAGGGACACTCACTAGTCAATATTATTGTGGAGCATTGTCGTTCCTGAGCTGAACACTCCAATAAGACAATAAGTGTCTCAAAGACAGAAGAAGGATTGAGGCCCACCTGACTATTCCGTGAAAGGTGTCTCTGAGCTTACTAAAAAGGTGTTGGTCATAAAACGTCAAAGTGTGTTCTTTCCTAAGAGAAAATTATTTTTGATCTGATAATCAGAAAAAGTTGGGATTCTGCTGAAAAATGGATTGCTTGGTTTTTACTCTTTGGATACTGTAACAATAGTTATAATTAAACAATAATTATAATTTTTTAAAAAAAATCAGCAGCCATACCCTCCAAGATTGAGCATTTTGTGTTTTAACTTCATACAGGACTATATTTTATATTTCTGTACTTGTATTATATTTCTATACTTGTTTATATTTCTTACTTGTTTTTCCCTTATATATTTATATATTTTATATTTCTATACTTGTTTTTCCTTTGCCTAATTTTTTGAAATCTACTTCTATTCTAGGAATTCTGGGTTGAAATTATGTTTGTTTAAAATTTCTTAAGTCGTTGTGGTAACCAGAAGGAATATAAATACATGATTATCTATAAGGTCTGCTTTATGTATTGACCATGTTTCACTAACACCGAGAGAGAAAGGCTACCTGAGCAGAAGAGACAAGGCCACCATGCTTCTGCTGGCTCCAGAACACGGGCCAGAGGGTGTATGGAACTGGATATGGTAAAAACATAAGTCTGATGCACAGATTTAGGGCAGTGGCATAGTTTTTTCTTTCATTGATAATGTGTGGGATTCAACTTCCTCCTTCCTTGCTCTTAAGAAAGTGGCAGGGTTTGGGGGTGAGGGGTTGTAGAAGGAAATACTATGCTGAAATAAAAAAACTCTAAGCTTTGGCTTGCTTATTATGTGAAATTAACTGAGTCACTCAATTTCTCCAATCCTGTTTTCTTATCTGCAAAAATGGGCCAATAATTCCTACCTATTTCACTAGGTTGTTACGGGGATGGAAAGAGATAATGCATGGAGAAAAGCTTTGAGAATTGTAATGTGAATTTCAAATGACAGTACATTTTTATTATTTCCTATGAAATGTCAAAATTCCAATAGTGCTGTCCATGAGCTATTAAAAGGACAATTCTTCAGATCTCATAAACTATCTGACTGGTGGGGCAGGGGAGAGGGGAAGTGGAGAGAAGAAAATAGAAACAAAGCAAATGTCGTTTCTGGGTTTCTTTTAGATTGGCCCAGAGCAGTGTTAATAGTGGCATTCCCTCTGTCAGAAAGTGCTGTCACCTCCGCGTGGCCAGGGCAGAAACAAAACCAGGAGGCCATCTTACCTCGTCATCGCAGCTGATGGAGCATTTGCCATCCAGTGAGGCACACTGTGTCGGGGGAAAGCAGGGGGAAGCGTGTTACTTGGACATCCCAGCATCTGCTGTGGCTGCCACTTAGTTATTCTAGAATGAGCTGTCAAAGTCATTTCTTGTAATGCAAATACCAAATCTCATCCAGAAGGAATGCTCCAAGATGAGTCTTGACACCTTCTCCAGAATCAGTATCAACTCCAAATAGTAACATAAAAGTAACATATAAAACAATGTGCAGGGGGAAGGAGCTGGCTCTTTTTCATCTATTTTCATTTACGTTGTCATTCAATATTGATAATATCATTTTAAGATCTCGAATATTTTGGTAACAAGAAGCATAATTATGATATATTTATTTTTAAATTAACTAATTCCCAATGACTTTTTAAAATCCCCTGTGTTCTCGGTTTATACTTTCCAAAAGTATCTTAATTTAGGAAATGACAAACCATTCCAACATTTAGAATTGGACAGATGGAGGCAACTGGTTGCCATTTCTACCAAATTACTGAACAAATACCACTGAGATTACTTAGCACAGACAGCATAGCAAAAGGAAACAATGCCAGATTCTCTGGCCAAAGAATGCACATACATGCTTTGACAAACCTAGCTATACAAAGGCCTTGAAAATTGTGGTAAAGAGATACACAAATAAATAACCAGGCATCACAACAAGGTTAGAAGAAAGTCACTATGAAAAAATCTCACAAAGTCCTCAATATTTAAAAGAAAAACTCCTTTGGAAGATCACTATCTTGACCTCACAATTAAAACTGTTCCTAGGAGCAAATTCCCTGCTTTGCCCAGCGTACGGTGTCTAACATGCTGACAGCTCTTCATTTAGCCGTAAAATGAAAGGTAATCTGAGCAGCTGGCAGTCCATTTTACAAACATTCATCGGAAATCTGGCACTTTTAGGCACTGAGTACCCAAATGTGAACACCTGTATAATAACAGTGTTGCTAATGCTTCAAGATGCTGATTATAACTTACCTGTCTGCTGGCAGTCCAAAACTTCCTTTGGAAAAATTCAAGTTTCATCTGAATGCCTACAGCTGGGACAAATTACAAATAAAAGAAGGTATTAGAGATCCCTTTACACAACTATTTAGGATTATCATTGAAAATTATCTGTCATGGCCAGAAGCTGGTATAAGCATATCAAATAAAATTTACAGTGAAGCATACAACTTAGACATTTTATCTTTCAGGTAAGAAATTCTCAAGGTTACCTGTACTCAGAACTTGTGATACACAACAAACAGCGCAGCTCAGATGGCTCTCTGGAGACATGTTACTTTAGTGTTTCTAAAATTCATAAACTTGCGATTCCCAACCCCCCTCCAACACAAGCTGAAAAAAGGAATAATAAAAAAAAAAGATTCAGAAGATCACTACTTCTTCAGTTCCAGTTTCAGCTATTATTGTATGAACTGGTATGTCTAAAACGTGTACTCTGCATGTGTTTTTGAAATACAAAATTTGAAAAGCACTTGTTATGAGGTTGGTATTGAAAGTAAGTCACTTTGCTATGATATCACTTAGTTTAACTGGCCCCCTAGTGTCCACATCTCAATGTTCCCCTCTCCCTAGGAACTCTGGTGAAATTCTGCAATTTTTTGTCTGTGAAAAGCTTCCTAAAGCAACAGTGCATGCTAGTGACAGAAATACAGAAAGGGATGAGGTTTAGAAAATGACTTGAAACTTTGGAAGGTGGAATTTAGTGGAACCTAACTCTTGAAACCATTTCAGAAAGTGATCAGAATGGTCGTGGTAAAAAGCTCATCAGATGACGGGGAAACTTCAGAGGAGTTTGAAAGAATGAGACTGCAGGAAATGCTGGACTCCCCAGGGGACGCCATTTACCCCAGTGCAGTTTTGTAAATTTCAGTCTGTTGCACACATCCTCCCCAGTTCTTGCCATATCTGCATGCTGGCAAGTACTGTTATTTATCTTCCCATTCTGCTTTCTTTTAAACACCTGTAATAACTTCAACCTAAATAATAACACCCATCAAAAGAAATACACAGTTGAAACGAAAAAAGTTCCCTTATATACTCTTAAAATTTTGGATGCCACTATATTAGACACCCCCCTCAAATAATCATTGCTGTGCTGGCTTTGGGAAGTTGGGGATCCATGAAGGTCCTAGGCTGTTACCCTTACAACTATCAAGTGTACTTCTACTTCCTAAAGAAACAGTTGAAGCAAACTCTGAGAGTAAAGGTTAACTGGGGAGATACTTTTGGAGAGACTTGCCATCTGTCTTTGGACTTAGAATTTCAGACTCTAGGACAAGACTCGAGCTAATCATGGTTGCAATATGATGAATGGGAATAGTCTCTGAAATGCATCATTTTTGTGCTATGGACCCATCTTGCTCTATCATAAGTGTCCTCCATCCTCTGGACCATAAACCCCCCAAGAGCAGGGACCTGTTCTTGATCCCTGTTGGATCTGTGCCCCCAGAAAAGTGCTGAGCACACAGATGACCCATCAGGAAATGCTTGCTTTTTTTTTTTTTTTTAACTTTCAAGTGATATTGTCAGCAGTTACAGAGAAAAATGGGAGAGTAACATCCACATGAATCATAATCACACCTAAACAAAAGGTTCTTCAGCAGTGGTTCTCAACACATTAGAACCACCTGGGGATCTTAAAGAAAAAATACTGATGCCTGGGTGCCTTCCCCCTCCCTGCCAAGACCATTTAAATCAGAATTTCTGGGGGTAAGGATCTAGGCAGGAATATTCCTTAAAAGCGCCCCAGGTGATGCTACTGTGCAGCCAGGGTTGAGGAGGTCTGCTCTGCAGTCTTTAGCCAATTGGCTTTAGAGGACCTGGTTCAATGTGGGCCACCTGGCCAGACTGCACATAAGCCGCTCTTCCCAGCCTTGGAGAAAATTTCAGAGAATAACTGAAGGAAACTGATTTTGGAGGCTGAGGGCTGTTTACTGCAATTCAAATAAATCTTGTCTTCCAAAATGTCTTTCAGGCCAAGGTGCAGGGTGCAAACCAGGGTGCAGCTGGGCTTTGCTCAGATTCACCAGCAGGCAGAGGTGAGCATCTGACCTGTGTGTAAGAACAGGTATGGAACAAGTATCTCTGGTCCTACCAACGACAGGCAGGCGCCAGCAGAAAACTGACTTCAGAGCAGAAGGCCTCACAATTGTGAAATCCTGCAGCTGGTATCTAAGAGGAGAATGGGAAGTCGGTTTTTTTGTCTTCCTCTGTGTGTCTCTTATAGCTCCCCTCCCACATCGCTCCCTGGCCAGCTCTCCCCAGACTGGCAGTCAGAGAGTAAATCTAAGGTGACCTCTCAGGGCCAAGGTCAACAGCCATGGAGAGCTGCAGGGGCTTATAGGAGAAAAGCATGCGGGTTCCCTGAAAGAGCCTTTTCATGATGCTTCTCCTTCCAACAGCCCAGAGCCGCCCCGGCCAACCGCCATCACCTGAGTTCTTCCATCAGCCACCTGTGCCCTTCTGAGCACCCCTCCCAGTCTCAGAAGGAGCCACGTTTCCATACCACTAATGAAGCTAGCTGCTGCCTCCTGGGTGTTTATCCATCTCACATGCTCGGAGCCTGCTATCATCTGCCCCTGTCGGTCCTGCACCCTGATCTTCAGAGCGCTTTAATCTTTGCTCATGAGTCAGTCCCTCCATCCCATTAATCACACGGCTGCTTCTCTCTGATCTCTCTCCAGCAGGCTGCATCCTCTCCCTGGTCCTGATGCCCTACACGAGACGCTGCTCCCTTCGTTCCTCACTCACTCTCTGTCTGGGCCAGAGGTTGTTGCCCAAGGGCTCTCAGACAGCCCCAACTGACTGCAACTGTCTGCTCGGACTGGACCCACCTCTGTGTTCCTTGCTGCTGACCCCCAAGCCCTTCCTACACCATTAGCCCCTGGCTTTCCATCACACATCCGGTTTGCAGAATTTTCACCTACACATTAATATACTGTTCTGTGATTAAGAGACTCACAACCCCATTGATGGGTCCACTTCATGACCATTTGTTCAGTGGCCTTCTCTGTGCTGAGCTCTAAGCTGGGCACTAAAGGGGAAAGGGACAATATGCTCCCTCAGCATCTAGCTGAGTAGCCACATGGTAAAAGCTACATTACAGGCATAAACTAAGAACTGTGGAGGGCAGGGCAGGGATGAGTTGGCCTGGGGGAACTGGCGAGAGCTTTGTGTAAGGTAAGCATGGAGACCTGACTCAGAAAGCAGGGGTCCATGGTGATCCAAATAAAGGAAGGCACAGTGGCAAAGGGATAGAGTCTTTGTAAAGACCGTCCTGTGTCCTGAGGCTTGAGAGGAATGGGACTGGGGGACCTGGTAGGGCAGGCTGTGGTCGAAATGGCAAAAGGTCTTGAATGTCAGCCGAAGCATCTGAATAGCATCCTGCAGGCTGGGGATTAGCCCAAGGGCCAAATCCAGCCTCTCTTTGTAAATAAAGTTTTATTGGCACACAGCCACTGTCATTTGTTTACATATTGTCTATGGCTACAATAAAAGAGTTGAGTACAACAGAGACTGCACAGTCCACAAAACCTAAACTATTTACCATCTGGCCCTTTACAGAAAAAGTTTGCTGACACCTGCTGTAGGTGCCATTAAAGATCTTTAAGTAAAGAAGTGGCATGATCAGATTTATATCTTAGAAAGTCTAGGAAAGTCTCTGAAATTCTAAGAAATTCTAGTTTCTAAATTCTAAGAAATTCTCTGAAAGCTTGCAGAGGAAGTGCCAGGAAAGGCCTGGACAGTGGGAGTTGGGATAATGAGATGAGTTAGGCAGCCATGACCACTTGATGATTTAAAGTGAAAAAACAAACAAACAAACACAAAACAAACCAACAACCAAATGAGAAAAAAAAGCACCGCCTCCCAAAGAAACAAGCATATAAAAATACTTAAGAACATTAATGCCTATTCAGAAACACAAATATGACTCGCCAGAAACAGAAATTTAGCTTCCTTTCACTATTTTCCTTTGTTTTGTTCCACATGTTTTTCTTTTTTCAACCTTTATCAGAGAAAACACTGTTACTTCAGCAAGTCCCACTCTCTCCACCATTCCCCACATAGCCTAAATGGAACCCGAGACATGTGTCATGCCCATCTATTTCGTTCTTTCAACAACATTTCAAACCATAACAGTATATTCTCATTCAAGTCAGTCTTGCTAATTTAATAATGAAAACAAGGACAAAAAAAAATGCTTTAGTGAAACCTAAGTCCAAAGGAGAGTGCAGAAAACAAAAACACCATTCCTAGGGTTTGAAATTTTTTAGACAGTCCAGAAAATCATCAACATATTTCCCTGGAGTCCACGGAGCTTCCCACTTCCATCTGATTACGAATGCTCCAGGGCTTCCTGCCATGACTCCTCTTCACACGAACAGATACAGAGGTCCTTTTGCATATCGGCATCTGGCGGTACGTTACTCACCCTACAGGAGCAGAGCAGATCCAGAAAAAATTATACCATAGGGTTCTTCCCAACATGCCAATACAGGGTTAGCCTCCTAGGGCAGTGACCCCAAGACACTGGGATGGTCTTTGGAAACCAGCAAAACAGCAAAATTATTGTTGTGAGAATTGCCATCCGAAAAAGCCCAGAACCCTTTAACATAAAATATTCAGGCATCTCAAGCACCAAAACCTCTCTTGGTTTGAACAGGTGACTGTTCCTGTAACTCATCTCAATACTCTGAGGGCCTGAGTGTAGATATTCAGCTTAATAATACAGACCAAGCCTTCAGTGAAGTATCTTCCTTCCAGACTTCCTCTTTTCCCAGCTTTCTAACTTTCTAGTACTTTTTTTCTACCTTCCTCCATGCCTTTCCCCCACATTTGTCAGAAGCCCAGCATGTGCTAGGAGAAGGTATTTCAAGATGAAGAGATAAAGGACACACACCCAGAGGTGGGGGCCTGCGGAAGGCAGTCAAATCACTGAGGAGAGATTCATACTTTAGCATTCTCAGAGCTGAAAGAGAAGGGCATAGGACATCCTCTGAGCACCAATGCATATAGACTATTTGATTTGCAGAAT